AATGCAATGATTTAGACTCTTAATTATAAATATAACATTTTATCATGATTTAAATTTCGTTTATATAATCCACGATCGATACGAATTGAGTTGAGTTGGGTTGAAAAAAGTTGAGTTTGTGGCTCGAGTAACCTAAATATAACTCATAACCCAATTCAACCCTCTATTCTCGATTGAGTTGGATTATTTTTATTTAGTATTCTATTTATCTACAATACATGTTACAGTCACATTTACAAGTCACAATCCATCACTAATCTCGATTACCAACTATAAATATTCTTTAATACTTTTAATAGTAAGGTAGGGTTGGTTGTTAACCTTCTTCTCCGGTTGATTTGGTTGACCCTATTAAAAAAAATGTCAACCCACAAACTGAACCAAATTTAATATTTTGCAAAAACTCAACCCAACCAAAACCGAAAAAAAAAAAAAAATCTAACTCAACCCCACCTTTATGGTTTAGGTTTGGTAGTTATGATTGGTCGAGTTATCGAGTATGAACACCCTGACATATAATTTAGTCAAATTTCATAAATTATCCTACGAATACTTGGTAATGACATGATATTTAATATACATTACAACCTAAACATCGACCACACAAAATCTAAAGTTTTTGATCTTAAGTTTAAAAAGTTAAGTCCAGTAGTACTGGGTTGAGTCCTCTAACCAATCCCTTTCAAGAAGATTTATCTAAGACTTACGATCTCGTTAATTCTAAAGAGGAATGTATTCTGCATGTAGTTTTTATAATTTTTCTAAAAAAATGACAAAACCTAATCGCAAATAGTATTTTTCTTTTAAATTTCATCCAAAATCATTTAATCTTATCAAAGATTTTATTCTTACTTATTATAACCAAATCTCTCGCATTTTTAAAAGATTTTAACTAGAAGGATTATGTCAACAAAAAGAATAATTTAGTTTAACAAAAGAATTTAAAAGTTATAGAATATTAAAAGAAAATTATAATTTAATAGAAGAAAATTAGAAACCGTTGCTTTGTTGGTGGTCACATTTAGACTTTTTGAGCAAAAAAATGAGAATAAAGTTTGAAAGAGCATAAGGTCAAACTTAGGGTAGCAAATTAATGAATGGTGTTAGGGCAAACAATAAAGTTGACTCACATTTTTGTCTCCAAAATTCCACCATCCTTTGTTCTTCCTCTCCTTTTGTCCTCCATTAATACCCTCTAAACTCATCCTTTGACCATATTAATAATATTAATAAACCGTTCCTATTTTAGAATTGAAGATTTAGATTATAAAAAATACTCAGTTGGTCGGATGCATGTAAGTGAAAATAAAACATCCTAAAACGACCCATGTTGGTCTGTAAGGATAGTAGAATATTCAGTTGGTCGGAAGCATGGAGATAGTTTTTACTCGAAATCATGGCTTTTATCAGCATAGTAAATTAATTAATTATATGGGAAAAAAAAGGACAAAATGAAACTTTATTACTTTTTTGTCGGTGGAAAATAGATTAAAGTGGTTCACCAAATTAATAAAGTAAGGAGTTTGCTTGCTTTAAAAAACGGAAAGTTCTTTACTGCAACTATATATATTTTTAATTATTATTGACCCATAAAATATTAAATTAAAATAAATAATAATAATAATACTAATAGTAAATGACTTACTTGTCACATTTTTTAATATATCCTTTTTAAAAAAACATTATTCTAAGTTTAACGAGCCCCTGCAAATAGAAACGTCCCTTTCTAGATTATTTATTTTACCTTGATTGAATAAGTGACCAAAAAAAAAAAATCGAACAAGTGACCTGTGTTAGACGAACACGACTCTCCACAATGACATAATATTGTCCACTTTGAGCATAAGTGTGCTCATGGCTTTACTTTGGGTTTCCTCAAAAGGCTTTATACCAACGAAGAGTGTATTCTTAGATTATAAACTCATGACCATTCCCTAAATTAACCAATGTGGGACACTTTCATCCAACAACCCGAACAATATGAATCAATCAAACCCAAAAAATTTATTGTTGGATCGAGAGTTAAGTTCTTTAACGAAGATTATTCTTATTGAAAAAATTTATAATCTAAAAAAATTATTTGGATGAAAGTAACAAAAACATCAGAGTTTCTAGATTGATGGAATTAAATCATAATGTTAAAATCTTGGAGTAAACGTTATGAGATATTGTTTTGATTGGGAGCCTCATTGCCAAGAAAGTGTCATGTCCCCATGTGTCCTTTTCTTTTCATACATTATTTTTCAACAAATAACGTGTTAAATGCATTATTTTAAATTATTTTCTTTCAATTTTGAAAAATAAATTAAATTATATCACTAGAGAATATGTCCCAAAATAAATAATAAAATTATAAGTATATAAGTAAGGGACTCTCTACCGTAAACAATATTTTACCGTTATCTTAACAATTAATATAAAGGTTCATTTTTCTAAATTATTGGTTCACAAATAAATATTTTCATAAGCTCGATACATTCTTAATGGAATCAACAATAAAGTAAAATCATTTAAAAGGTAGTTAATTAAATAAGTAAAATGATTTTCCTATGCATAATTTCTGTAACTGTCTTTATTAAATGAATCGATTTTTCTAAAAAGAATAATAGAATCTTTCGTTGAAGAAAAAAAAAGAAAAAGATAAACTTATTACGTAGAAAATGTGGTAATAGATATAATTAACGGTGGAATAATTTTCGAATTTGATTCTTTTTCATTTAAAAAGAAGTCGATAATCTCTTAAATGATTTTATAATAATAGTACGTAAAGTAAAGTTGATATTATATATTAGAAAAATAATGATAAAGTGATATGGCCCATAAAACAATGTGTCCACGTAGAGTGAATTTTAAAATCTCTCTCCTTTTCATATCCATCACGTTTATATCGTTGTCTCCTCAACTTTACCAATTAATCTTTCATATACTTTCAGTTTCACAAATTTTCAATTTTATCACTTTTTTATTATTATTATTATTATTATTTTCATTTTTCCTTTCATTTATCCACTCATTTTAATAAATTATATAATTTCTTTTATATGTATTTAATGAAATTTAAAGTTTATGGTAAATATTAATATATTAGAACAAATTAATAATTTTTATTCCTATTTTGACATAATACTTTTTTTTCAAATTAATTTTTTCTCCCATAAATTTATACTTGTTTGACATAATTTTTTTTTTAATAATTTTCACATTTATTACAAAATGTTTTTTTTAAACTTTGGTTAAATTTTAAAAAAAAAAAAAAACTTTTAGAAGATAAATAATAAAGTAAATTTTTTTATAGATAAAAGTAATTTTTAGAGGTCATATTTTGGTATGGAATTTGAAGAAATTAACTTGAACTTTTAAAATAAAAATATTTTAAAGAATAATGACAGCTAAACAAATATTTATGTGATTTGAAGAATCAAAATAAAATATTAGAAAAATATATAAACCAGAAAATAAACATAAAATTTTGGCTTTAAGTGTACTGTCGGCATACCACGGTTCCTTCCTTTGTATCTTTTTTTATTCATTATTTTTTTTTTATTTCTATTGAGGTATAAACTAAAATATATGTTTTTATTTATTAATTTAACTTCTATAGTTTAAAAAATATTTATTTTTATATTATACATTTATTATTCGTCTTAAATATATGTTCTTTTAATTTTCGTACAATGTTGTCCTAGCCATCAATAATGAAACTACGACTCAATAATTTTTCTCTCCTAATAGAAGATCACGGATCTTTCAGACCAAGAACTAAGGAAAAGTTCTAGACAAAAAACTCGAAAAAACAACATCTGATAGCGGTGGTTGAGGGTTGTGTGCAAGGGGACGGTGACCCGAAGGGGTGGAGTGAGGGCCCACAACTTCACATTTGTAATTTATTGATGATAAAAATATGAATGCTTACGAGTTACAACACGTCAAACTTTATGGTCCGCGTTCATTATTTTCAAACCAGACCCACCACTCTCATCACTTTCCAATTTTTGATCCTTTTAAGCAGTCAGGCCGACCCTTTAAATTCTGTCCACTTCTCATTCTTCTTCATTCCACACTTCCCATCTTCTTCATAAAAGGACAGACCTTTCTGTTTCTCTGCATCACCACTAACGCACCCAAATGAAGGTTTCTTCCATTGATGACTCTGAGTTTTCCTGTAATGGAATTGGATCCATTCCCACCACCACCACCACCACCGACACCCACTTCACTGTCATGAAAACGTCTCTCTTCTTCGCCGGCGACGGCTTCACTGTCTATGACTGCAAAGGGAAGCTCGTCTTTCGAGTCGATTCCTATGGCCCTGATGCTCGTTACAGGGATGAACTAGTTCTCATGGACCCTCATGGTCATTGCCTCTTCACAGTCCGCCGCAAGGTAATTTGTGTTTCTTTTTCCTTCATTTAAAGTGGGTTTTGTCTAATTTTGGATTTGGGTTCTTGTTTGTTTGAGTTATTGACTCTGTTTCGTTTTGCTCTGTTTTTTTCCGAAAACAGAGGCCGAGTTTGCATCAACGGTGGGAAGGGTATCTTCGGGAGAGGATCAACGGGCAGAAACCGGTTTTTGGAGTGCGACGGTCGTCGATCATCGGACCGTCGAGTTTGACGGTGGATATGTATGGAAATCCCGGTAAGGAGTATCAGATCGAGGGGTCATTTGGGCAGCGTTTATGCACAGTTTTGAATGTGAAGAAAGAGGCGGTGGCTAAGATTAGAAGGAAAGTTGATGCTTCGACTAATGTGGTGCTTGGAAAAGATGTGTTTTCCCTTTCTTTAAAGCCTGGTTTTGATGGGGCTTTCGCTATGGCTTTGGTGCTTATTCTTGATCAGATAAGCGGTGATGACGGGATTGGTGGCGAACCAGATCGGACACTAGTTTGATTTTGAGGGCTTGTTTATTTGATCGAGCCATTGGCTCCTCTACTTTTAATGCTGTTGTTTATAGTTTTTTTGGATGGTGATGAATGTGTACATTTAACCATTTATAGCCTGAAATGGAAATAATGGAATTTGAATATCATCATCAAGCAAAGCCTTAACTTTGTGTTACATTGTTGAAATGTTGTGTTGAAAAAATGAAAATCAATCCGTTGGTCTCTTAAAAATTCAGATAATCACTGTTAAAGAATTTACAGAGTGCTTGATCTTGAGGTGGTTGTGTTGATGTCATTGAAGCTTGATTCTATGATGCAAGAATCAGCATAAGAACAGCAGAGGAAGCTGTGAGAATCATTGAATAAGAGCAGCCAAATCCAAGGTTCTGCGAGTTTTTGATATCCAATAGTAATTAGGTAAGGTTATAATATGATAGCAATGAGTAGAGAAACATGTGAAAAAGTTACCTTGAAAGAGAGAAGAGATGAGGGTGCTGCAGAGGAAGGTTTGAGTCCGGTGAAGCCAATATTGTATGAAATGCTGCCATCGGCCTTGAACAGACCGAAATTCCTCTCAGACGTTGGCCCCGGTTTCGAGTTCTCGTTGAAGAGAGCAAAAATGTAAGCCCTGACGACGGTTTTGGGACGGTAAGGAGTTCCCTTCTTCTTCATCAACTTCTTACGTAGATTTCGATTGTATGTCCTTGCATTTTTCAAAGTAGCACCAGCTTCGTTCTCATCCCCATGAGAAGCCCAGCCAGTCTCGGAGACAATGACGGGCATCTTCGGGTAGCCAGCCTTTTCGAGTGCAATGTAAGCTGCATCAACTTGAGCGTCGAACATGTTATCATAATGGAGATTGGTTTTGGTATCAAAGATGCCCTTGTTCTTCTTGAAAAGTGCATAGTCGATATCAATATGTTGAGGGTCATTCTTGTAAGCCAAGAATGGATATGCATTAATGAAGAAAGGGGAGCCAATGAGGTTGAAGAACTCCAAAAGAGGCTTCATAACTGGCACAATATCTTCCTTGAAAATGCAGGAGGAAGGTGGAAATGAATTTGCAAAAACAGCTTCTGAATGTGGACTTGAAACTTGCACAATGCTTGTCAATTGAAGCCTATAAAGAGCATTGTAAACATTTTTAACTGCAGGCACAAGAACTTCCCACAGCTCAACATCAGTTCCCCCCAACACCTCGTTCCCAACCGCGATCCCTCGTATATGAGTGTCCGGGAGAAACGCCTGAACATTCTCTTTAATCCAGTTCATCGCACGATCCTCCCCGACGCTTATGTCTTTCAGATATTCATTCCCGAGACCGACCACAATCTCAATACCCGAACCTTTGAAAGCCGTCAGGACTCCATGATCAGCATCATAGATTCTTATGTTCTTTATCTTTGCAGCTTTCAGAAGTGTCACCACACTTTCAGGAGGTGGTATATTATCTGCTATTCTTCCATAATTCACTCCATACGTCCAACCTGCATCCACTCCTGTAAACCAAAACAAAACGCCACTGTTAGCCATAATTCAAGCCATAATTCAAGGACAAAAACAATATCTGTTTGCTGGAACACACCATTGAGGAAGATGGCACAAAAGAAGCAGAGGAAAAGGGGAAAAGTGGTCATTTGTGAGGAGGGGGCGCAAAAGGAGAAGGAAAAGAGAGTTCCTTTTGTAGAAAAAGACGTGGGGTTGTGGCCTATTGGGTTGGGTGTAATGTTTTGTAGGCCAAAAATAGTAGCAGGAGGGCGTTTCCTGAGGCCATGGCTTTACAAAAATGGATAGATTCTTAGCCTTCGTTCAAAGATGATTCAAAGTTTGATGAGGAGGAAGAACATTCTTTGTTGTTTATTCTTAGTTCCATGAAGGGAAAGAGTGGAGTTGTTTTAAGGCGGCATAGAATAGATTCTTCCCTTTCTTCTCACTTTTATCTTTTCATCTGCTACTTTTCTTGGAAAATCTTCATTTTCTTCTGTGTTTTTTTTGTTTTTGTTTTTGTTTTTGTTTTGTTTTACAGATGTTTGATGGGGTTTGGAATATCCATTTCCTTTTGCTTTGGGGACACTTTCTATTCTCATGTTACAACAAAGATTTGAGCAAATGCTTGATCTTTGAAACTGTTTCATTTCAGTGTGATGCTTAAAGTTTTTCGAGGAAAAGAAAAGAATGATGGGGCAATATCTGAATTCTAATCAAAACAATCATTTACACTGCAGAATCTTTAACATACTATGAAAATTGTTGAGACTAGAATATGTGAGATTACACGTCGGTTGGACAGAGAAACGAAGCATTTTCTTATAAGGGTGTGGAAACTTTTCCCTAATGGACGTGTTTTAAAACTGTGAGGCTGACGGTGATATAACGGTCCAAAATGGACAATATTTGCTAGCATTGGGCTTGGGTTGTTATACATGGTATTAGATCTAGACACTGGGTGATGTGCCAGCGAGGATGTTGGGCCCCCAAAAGAGATGGATTGTGAGATCCCACGTAGGATGGAGAGGAAAACAAAACATTGCTTATAAGGGTGTGTAAACCTTTCCTTAACATATGCATTTTAAAATCTTGAGGTCGATGGCAATATGTAATAAGCCAAAACGAAGAATATTTGCTAATAATGGGCTTTGGCTGTTAGAAATGATATCAGAGCCAGACATGGAGTTAGAAATGATATCAGAACCAGACATGGGGTTAGAAATGATATCAGAACCAGACATGGGGTGATGTGCTAGCGAGGACGCTAGCCCCCAAAAGAGGGTGGATTGTGAGATCCCACGTCGGTCGGAGAGGGGTACAAAACATTCCTTATAAAGATGTGAAACGTCTTACCCAATGTTAAATTAGAAGGCCGATGAACATTAACATTCTACAGTCAAAAGAAGTCTGGTGAGAAAAAAGAACAAAAGCTACAGATTCTAATATCTAAATCTAACAACTACAAGTTCTCTTTTCGGTAAATACATACGAAAACTAAAGCTACCGTCACCATGGGAGAGCGTAAACGCTTGTTACAAAGATCGAGTCGTCGAGACCGCCAAAAAGTCAGCAGATAGTTGTGATATGCACTGCATCGATCCATCGATCGTCCTAGTTAAAGCTTACCATTTTCTTTCATCAAGTTATCGTGTTCAACGCTTCGGTCCTCGGCCTCAACGTTACATTTTGCACCATTTGTTGAAACATCTTCATTACCCTTAGTCACATTGTCTGGTGTGGCTGCAGTTTCGTTCTGATCATTCTGTTTAACTCCCTCCATGACTCCGTTCGCTTGTTGAACGGCGACATCGCCAGGATCGTTTTCGTTTTCGTTTTCGTTTTCATTTATGCATTGGTTAACCTCACTAGCAACAGCAACAAAGTATGCAGTAGGTATGACTATTTCTGCTACTTCATTTCCTTGATTTTCAGCTTCTTCCAATCCCTCAGTTTCCACTTGAATCGCATCTTGACCGTTCGTTTCGCCACCGTTTTCATTCGTTTCGTCGATACCGACAAATTCAGAGTTAACAACTACATCGGAACTTTCATTTTGATCTTGCTTTTCACCTTCACCAGCATCACAACCCCTCTCATCTTTACTCCTTATGTCTGGATCAGCATCTCCTTTTTCACTTTCCTTCGGTTCGTCTTTCGGGTTATCTCCATTATCAGCTCGACGAGTATCAGAACCGTCTTTATCCTTCTCATTCCCCTCTACATCAATCATTTCAATTTCTTCAAGAACTAAGGGAGCTGCAATGGCTTCCTCCTTATAGTCTTTCTTAGAACCAGAAGATTTTCGACTCCGTTTCTTCGGAGGCTCCTCTTTCGGCGGAGTCGCCTTGACCTTCTCACTAATTCTTGCAGATCTTCTAGGTGCCTCACCCGTGCTCCAATCGAACTCGGATATCGCAGGAGCATCAGAATGCAATTTTAAGTACTGCTCTAGCAGTTTTCTGCTACTAAATTCTTCACCAGTTGGAGCAATGAATACAATTTCACTCTTCCTAGGTGTACCTGCCTTGTTGGGTATGAACTAGACAAGCAAAATAACCAACAATTCAAGAAGTGCTCAAAAGAATTATACCCTAACAGTTCTCCAAACAAGCCCTAGAACTAAAACAGAGTTCCAAAGCCAAAAAAACACAAACTTGACCACGAAAAGAGAATATTGAGAAGAAATTCACAAGACCCAGAAACAAGAACATCAATCTTAAACGAAAAAGAGTTTAACTCTTGCAAAAAAAAGACCTAAATTGAGTAAAAAGTTCAAACTTTTAGAGAAAGAAAGAGAGACCAGTTTCTTCCAGGTAGCTGGGGCAGGAAGCTCCACAGAAATGGCTTCTTCATCCATGGCTGCTGCAGCTTGAGTTTGAGCTTCATTTTCCACCATCATAGCTCCCTCTGAATCTCTCGTTTCTTTTCAGTTTCTGTTCTTGTGTGGCCAAAATAGAACACATAAACCGTTGAGGAGTGTGTTCTTCTTTGGTGGTTAGTCCTAAAATCCAAAAGGGCATTGCTAAAACTACCTTCACACCAAAACCCATCTGCATTTTGTCCAATCAGATGAGGGATGATCCTCAAATCCTTTGATCTTCACCACGTGTCGAGATCAGAGAAGCGATTACAAGGGTTTGGACTGAACTCAGCAACAGGGTAAGTTGTTTCTGGGTGGAGCTTAAAAATCCCATCTTTATTTCTTTCTCGGCCATCAAGGCGGGCAAACAAAATCCAGAGATTCCGAAATTCCTTTTTTTTTTTTTTTATTTCTTCATTATCCATAAAAAAATTTTAAAATGGGAAGAAATTCTTGTTTTCCCGCACTTTGTTCTGGTGACCGTCGTGGAGCCACCTGTTCATCCGGACGTGAAAGGCTCTGGATTGCCGTACTCTTAAGGGAATTGAAATGTGGGGTTTCACGTCCGAATCTGTCGGTGTCGTGTAATTTATGTAATGTGGTGTTGGCATAGGTTTCAAGTTTCTTTCTTGGTAAAAAGAAACAGTTTTAACTGCTTTAATTGGAATTACTTTCAGACTTCTATTTTTTTATTTTTTTACTGATCAAAATTACACGACGGTGATCTCTTTAACATCCTTTGGGGGCATCTCAGTCCTTGGAATGGTGATGGTCAACACCCCATCTTTCAGCTCCGCCTTGATCTCATCCGCCACCGCGTCCTCCGGCAGCATCACCGTGCTCTCATAGTACCCATATCTCCCCCCCCTCCACCCACTTTCTTCTTCTTCGTCTTCTTCACTGTGCTCCCCTCTGATGCTCAGAATCCGACCCTCCACCCTCACCTTCACGTCTTCCTTCCTAATCCCAGGCATCTCCACCCTCAGCTTGTACCACTCTTCTTGCTCTTTCACATGCCCACCGGAGACCCACCATGGACGCCTCAAGTTCAAGCTTTTCAATACCCTGTTTATGTTCTCAGCCGCTTGCATCAGTGAATTCCCCACATCAAATTCTCTCCCATTCTTCTTCCATAATACCCACCTCTTGCCTTCCCCTTTCGGGACCATTTTGGTGTTTTTGTCTTCATTATTAATGGCCACTTCTTTGGGATTGCCTTCTGAGCTCTGATCGCAGAACCTTCTGATCAGGGCCTCTGTTTGCCTGTGGAGCAGAGCATCAGCAGAGGAGGAAACAAGCGCCCTTTGCTGCAAATTCTTCAGAGCCAAGCGAGTCAGGGCCATGGGGAATGAGTATTCAAATAGAGAAGTGGAGTGGGCTCTGTTGGTAATGTGTTTTGGTGTAAAGATGGTGGCGGAAGAAGATATAATAAAGACATGAGGGGAGGGGGGAGAATCTGAAAGGTGAGTCCAGAAGTGTCGTTGGAGTTTCTGGCAGGTGCTAGTCCATGGAGAAAACATGTGTCGGTCCTGTCCTGTGCATGTTTCATACAGCTTCCAGTTGTTTCTCAAATATACCATCAACACAGAGAACAAAGGGTTCAATCCAATCCAACCACATTTCCATATGGCTACCAACAGAGCCTAAAGCATCAACTATTTTACTTATGGCCCAAAATTTCAAATTTCTACCCGCATATTTGTAATTGCAAGTTTAAGAGTACCAATCAATCTGACTATTATTTATCAAGATTGGATCATGCAATCAATCTGACTATTATTTATCAAGATTGGATCATGCAAACGTTGTTGGTGTTCGGGAGAACATTCCACATTTTTATAAAAAAGGTTTGGTTCCCATCTCATAATCCATCTTCCTTCGGAGCCCAGCATCCTCGCTGGCACTCGTTCCTCTCTACAATCGATGTGAGATCTCACAATCCACTCCTCTTTAAAGCCCAACGTCCTTGTGGCACACCGCCCAATGTTTGGCTTTGATACCATTTGTAACAGCCCAAGTCTACCGCTAACGAATAATGTCCTCTTTAGATTTTTTCCTTTCAAGATTCTCCTCAAGATTTTTAAAACGTATCTATTAGAAATAGATTTTCATACCCTTATAAAGAATTTTTTGTTCCACACTCCAAAAGCACTCAAGTTTCAGACAAGAACTAGATAAAAATTACCCAAAGGAAGAACGCCCAGTACAACAAACAGAACGCTAAAATGGATTAATGTTCTGTTTTTTCCTTCTGTCTAAAAAGCTACATTTTGGGTATTGGCCAAGTTGCCAATTTAGCAATTGTACCTGTTCATGCAATAGTTGTAATTCAGCAAATCAGAGGGTTTCCCAAGCCTAACTTAACCTTCAAATATCTTTAAGAAAATCAACCATTGAATGTAGATTTCAAGGTTAGACCCCGTTAGAGAAAAAGGCACGACTAATATGAAAAATTGATCAGCAATAAAGCTTATCGGTTCCATATGGCGACACTTACACCAAGTGATCTAGGATGTGGATAGGGATGTGAAATCATGGCCAGATTAGAACAAAACCATCATATAATCTTATTACAGCTTTATAACTAGAAGTCAAAATTTTCCAGAAGAATTTATGACTATAAAACAATTTCGGTTATGGAGAAGAACAGTGACCAAACCTACTTGAATTTGGGTTCTCCAATCAATTGTTCTTTGTTGTTGGACTCTTTGCTCTGCACCCAATGCTGTCTAGTCTGATTCCAGAGAAAGAAGACCTACAACTAAAACTGTCAAACCACAAACAGATGACATTACGATATTCTTGAACATAGAAACTCTCCTAAACTGTAAACTTCTTATGCACGGAACTAAACTAGCTTATTTGCTGTCTAGTCTTAGAACCAGCTATTCATCTATATGAACGACAAGAAACTAGTCACTTGAAACGGGACATGGACTAGACCTTCTTTATCCTTTTATCCCTTATTAGTAGTACATAGTTCATATTTGAAATGGTAATTTTTGGTAGTTTTTTGGGGTGGGGTTGGTTTATAAATAGAGAAAGTTGGAGAGTTTGGGGGTTACACAATCATGTAGAATCATTCTACAGTGGATGCATTGTGGAAAGAGATAACCATCTCGAAAGGCTATTGATATTATTATAATTTCCTTTAGATATTTCAATATGGTTGCTTTAAATGATCCTAACAAACTAGACCTGGATTTAGACTTGGCGTTTAAGGATAGAAAATGAAGTTGGAGCCTTCGCTCTTGGTGCCTTTAAAGCTATGGCAACACAAGTTAATCAAGCGAAGCTGCAGAAGTTCATAGCACAAATGAGAACTTACCATGATTTACAAATGCAGTGGGAACATTAGCTTCGCTAGAGTCCCCCTGTAATTGGTTGGATTTAACTGATGAATAGCCTCCTTTGACTTGTCCATGTCGTGTGATAGCCTAAGCCCAAGCCCACCTTGTCCTCTTTGGACTTTCCCTCGAGATTTTTAAAACGTGTCTGCTAGAGAGAGGTTTCACACCCTTATAAAAAATGTTTTGTTCTCCTCCCCAACCGTTGTGGGATATCACAATAATCCACCCCCTTTCAGGGCCCAGCATCCTCACTGGCACTCGTTCCTTTCTTCAATCGATGTGGGACCCCCCAATCCACCCCCTTCAGGACCAGCGTCCTTGTTGGAACGCCGCCCTGTGTCCACCCTCCTTCGAGGCTCAGCCTTCTCACTGGCACAATGCCCGGTGTGTGGCTCTTATACCATTTATAACATCCTAAGCCCACCACTATCAGATATTGTCCTCTTTGGATTCTCTCTTTCCATCTTCCCCTCAAGGTTTTTAAAACGTATCTGTTAAGGAGAGGTTTTCACACCTTTATGAAGAATGCTTCATTCTCCTCCCCAACCAATGTGGGATCTCACATCGTGTGCAGTCAAGATTTCAAAATATGTTACAAGATCCGCGAACTACTACAGTAGCAAGCTTAGACTTGATATGATTTTCAATGCATCCAATGCTCTATTACAAACTACAGTTCATCAAAATACTCATTAGAATCAGCCACATCATGGTTCAAAATCATAGTAAACAAGAGAAAAAAAAAAAATCAAAAGGGGAAAAAGAAAAGGCATGAAAGAAATCTTCCCATGATGCTCATTAAATAGTTATTCACATTTCTAGGATCTTTGAATTTCCAAGCTATCAACAACACCATTAAAAGCAAAACAAATGAACATTAAAGCAGAAGAAATGGTTCGATGATTAAGAACCCCTCCTTTCATTTTGCCAAATTTTCTAGGCAACCAAACACAGAGCCAATAACCCATTTCACACACAGAACAATGTCACACACAATCACATCAATCAAATAAATTCAAAATCCAAAACAGCAAAAAAGAACTTACCCCATGTTAGGGCAACGTATATAAAGCAAACCCAGAAGAACAGAACGGATCCACAGAGCACCAAACCCGATTCCAGGAAGAAAATATCAGAGAAATCGCCTCTAGAAATCAAAAAGATTCACGGGTGTAAACATAAAAGCTGAAACAAAAGCAAATTTAAGAAATCTACAGAAATTGAAACTTTCGAGGAAAAAAGTGGTCGACCTGAATGAACAACAATATCACGGGTCGCCTCTCTCCTGCTCCCTGAAATCCAAAATGCCCTCTTCGATGATTCACAAGCTCAGCTTTACCTCCCCCCTTTCTTCTTCTCTGGTTAACAGGAAATTGGTGGAAACATAGAATAGGTTCCCTCCGTAAATATTCGAAGTACTTAACTTCAGTTTATCACTAATTTTTTAGAAATTTTCCTAACCATCGTTTGATTAAAAGCTTATTAGAGATCAACTATTATTATTATTATTTGATTTTATTATGTTTGTCCATTATAAAAATCAAGTATTACGTGGATGAATATAAATTAGCCAATCTCATAATCATTTCATTTCGTCGTTGTATTGTAACAGAGACACGAATGTTGATGAAACCTAAAAGAAAATAAAAAAACAATCTCATATTTTGAATATATTTATGAGTCATCCTTCAAAGCTTCAATTTATTTGCGTGAGCAAGCAATAAAAGAGTTCTACGTGAAACATGATTCTCGATTCATAGCTAAAGTATGAAGTCTACATCTTCTAGAGGACCATACGAAAATAAGTACATATTCATTTAACATGAGTAAACGTGTCATCATAGTTCATGGTCCATAAAAATTACTTTAATTTTGTTCGAACAATTTAATTAAATTAATTAAAATATTACCCATTATTTGGCTATAGGATTCTTCCTTGTAATTATTCTTTTTTTTTTTTTTAATATTGTAAAGTGGATACATTTAATCCAAAGAATTACTTTTGGTTGGAATGGAATAGCTTTTGGAGTAAAAAAGTGATGGAATTTTTCACCTGGTCAATTGTAAATTTATAACTTCATATTGTTAAAATCTTGATGGGATCCATTGCGGACTTATTTTTGTATCATTTAATTAACTCACGTGACTATAGATCATTTGTCTTTATCAAAAATAAACGTTAAAAAATATATATATATTAAAAATATTCAATACGTAACTTCACTGTTCAATTTGTTCAGGTTAACAAATGCAAGCAACTCTACTTTCAAATTTATGTATAATTAGATGCATAGTAGTTCTCGACACATGACTTGTGTACATGCACATGGACCCATTGGGTGAGCACCGTTATCATATTCCATAAGCTTGACTATGAGCTAACTAGCACACACTCATGCAACCAAAATCGATAGAAAGAAAAAAACGCAAATGTACACGTTTATGACTGAAAAAGTAAATCATGACTAAATAGTCACACACCATTGCTTGAGTTCCAATGACTTGTCAAAATTCTTACTGTTTCCACCTCCCAAGTCGATGAACAAATCAAAACACACCAATGACTTAATCAACAAAAAGCCTTTTAACCTTTTTTTTTTTTCTTTTCAAAATTGTTAAGAATGCAAAAATCTACCTCTTTAAGTTATCATGAAAATTGAACATTGGTCCATGTTTTATTGGTTGCAGGTCGATCAATATAGATTTTAATTGTTAAGCTATTCTCCTATCGAAAATAACATCGATATTGATATCGTAACCATACGACAAAACTTATCCTATGTCGGAGAGAAAAATGAAATTATCATAATTTCATTATGATTTTTACTAAAATGAAAAGAAAAAAAAAAAAAAAAAAAAA